TGTGTTGTTTTGGACCAGCCCTAAAGTGCATGAATAAGCATTAGCTCCTGGAAGTATTGGAAACTCACTTTCTAAAAACTGATTTCTGAAGAGTTTATTAGATTTTTACCTTAAGCCAACAATACTTTAGATAAAACATTAGCTCTGCTTATTTCTATGAGATGACTTCATTTGCAATAGCAGTTTTTAAGATTGCAATAAAAATGAAAAATTAAAACTTTAAATGCAATAGAATTTTCAAAGTTATTTCAGCTGAGACAATGATTCGGTCTAGGGGAGGGGAAAAGTCACATGTATGTATTAGCTACTTAATAAGCAGATATGTGTCAAACACAGAAGGAAATCACGCTCATGTATTACTGGGGTGTCATTTGTTCAAACATTTTGGAAAGAAATTTGAGAAAAAGAGACAAAATATTTCTGCCTTTTATCCCAATAATTTCTCTCTTATAAATCTATCCCATTAGGAAACAATCGTAAATACAGAAAAAAAAGTTTAAATTATGATTTATATATGAATATCAAAAAATCAGAAATGCTGATAAAGAGGATATTAACATAGAAAAAAAATTCTTATAATGAAAGTATAAAATTCAAGATATGAAGTTGTATGATTACGGATGAAATAAACTAGGTGAAAAGGCAAAAGTGAAAATAAATGTAAAATTAAAATATTGAGGCCCCATGCTCTGGTTTCTCTTGATTTGCAGATGCTGTGGTGTCTCAGGTACGAGTGAGTGGAGTGGTGGGTCAGCCTGTCATGCTACCCTGCATGTACTCCAGAGCTAGAGAAGTCAGCACCATGTGCTGGGGCCGAGGGCCATGTCCTCTCTACTCATGCTCAAATCCATTCATCAGGACTGATGGACACCGTGTCACCTTTCAGAGGAACGCGCGTTATGAGCTCAATGGACTCATTTCTAAAGGGAATGTGTCTTTAACCATAAAGAATGCAGCGCAGTCTGACAGTGGCACGTATTGTTGCCGTGTGGCGCTCCCGGGGTGGTTTAATGATTTGAAAGTCAACATATTATTGGAGGTAAAGCCAGGTGAGTTTGTCTTCCATCCTCCTTTGATCATTTCAGGTGGGTGAGCTGAGATGTTTACTCTTTGGTAATAATTTTCTGTTCCTTTAAAAGGGAAAGAGGAGGTTTCTACAATCTTGTTTTCTATAACCATTGGGAAATAGAATAACCTATTTATTTGTATAGAATGATGTGTTAAAAACTACCTTAATTTAAGACTGTAGTTGGGAGGATTTTCCCAGTCAGCAAACTATGTCTTAAAATAGTGCTTCCAAAATGCTAGTTGGTTCATGAAAAGTTATTTACTGCTCCTTGTGAAAAAAATGAACATATTTATCAAACTGAGTGTATTTTATTTAACTTAAACAACTACCCTTTTTCTCTGAGATGATGTCTTAAAAATTATAAAATGATTCTTTTGCTACTTTAAAAGTATTATTGAGAATTTCAAACATATAAAATAGCTAATATTTTGTAAGATGCTGTCAGGTAGATACATCACTAACTTTAACAATTGTTAATATAATCTTGTTGCATATGCATTGTGTAAGCATATATAATTAAACCCCAACCTCTGCCCTAATTGGATGTTTTGAAGCATATCTCACCTCATATCACAACATTGCTTGTTTAAACATTAAAATTACATTACTGCAATATGAAAACTTTTGCATTTCAAGAACTTCACCAGTTGCTCTTAAGAATTTCATGAAATAAAAAAATTGGGGAAATTTTTTTTCCATTTTCCCCCCAGCATTATTGAGATATAATTGACATGTAACATTGAGCAAGTTGAAGGTACACAATGAGTTGGTTTGATACATTTATATATTGTACACTTGAAACCTATATATTTTACTAGCCATTGTCATCCCAATAAAGTAAAGAAAAAGAAAGAGATAGAGAAACAGAGAGAGAGAGAAAAGAAAAAGAAAACTACAAAACATCACCAAGAGAAAGTGAAGACCCAAATACACTAAAGAATATACCATGTTAATCTGGGAAATTTACATCTCTTCTGTCTTAATGTGGACATCCTAACCGCCTTATCATTTGTTGAAAGAAGTACGTTCTTGAGAAATTTCTGGTTTCTGATGCTCCTTCTTAATAAATCCCCTTCCACTAAAGTCTTATATTGACAGAACACAGTATCTCTTGTCTTAATATGTTGTATCTCTCTGTCTCCCTTTCCCTCTTTAATTAAAAGGAACTTTATTTTGCAAACTCTCAATGTTTAGACTGTGCTCATTTCCCTTAGGAAGGCGAGTAAGATAAGGTCAATCAGATGGAGAAAATGCTGCCTCTGGGGAAACTGCATGTGGAAGTAATTCAGGGGACCCAAAGACGCTGGTGAGGTTGTACACTACAGACAGATGTGAGGAGGCAGCGTGTGGAGAAGAAATTATGCTTACAACCATTTTGGAGTTGTGAAATCAGTTCGATCTGACTGAATTTGTAAAATAACATGGAAAGGTATTAGTAGGAGGCTTTTACAGTGCCTAGCAATTCTTCTAATAGGCCGGTATTTACAAGACCACTTTTCTATCCAGTGGGAAGTGGCTTCAAAACTAAGCCAAAGTGACTCTCAGCCTCCAATGACCAATCCTTTGCTTCAGTTTTCTTGCTTTTCTCACAGGCTGAGTTCATTCTTCAACCTTCTCTTAGGGCTTTTCCTCACCAGCACTTACCCTTATATCTTTCTAGCTTCTTCCTGGGGAAGATATTTTACACTGAAGAAGACAAGTTCATTAGACAATCTTATAAGGCTTCCTCCTCTTTCCTGTTCCTTATGTTCCCTTGATCATATTTTTTGCATGCTTACTTTTTCCTCTATATTAGATTTAAAACTGGAAGAAGGGGATTGGATTGTACACGTCTTAAAAGCCTCTGCCTTCACCTTAGGTCAGGGCCAGCAAACTCTAGCCCCATGACCAGATCAGATGAAAAATAGGCCCACCACCTGTGTTATAAATAATGTTTTATTGGAACAGCCACACCTATTCATTATACTCTCTTATCTATGGCTGCTTTCACACTGACAGAGTTGAGCAACTGCCACAGAGAAAATAGGGCCCACAAAGCCTAACATATTTAGTGTCTGGCCTTTTACAGAAAGTTTGCTGGCCTCTGCTTTAGACTAATGTGTCTTGCATGTAATAGACACAAATATTTGTTGTAAAAAAAGTTTTTTCCTGTACAAGGCAAAAAATTGGCTCAATTCCAAATGAAATTCTCTCTCTCAGAAAGAAGAGCGTTCAAATAATTGTCTATATCCAAGGATTTCTTTTATACTTAGTAGTGTTGAGTTTAAGGAAAGTTCCCATAAAAAACAAAGTGCCTTGTGAGCATAAAGTACACTTTCTTGAATCAGTCCTTCATTGATCTGTGTTTGGGCTTCATTCTAGTTTGTGCTGTCTCTCTCTGGGTGGTTCTAACACCTTCTGTAAGTGGTTTGGTTCCTACACCACCTCTGACTCAGGAAAAAGCCAAAGTTATTACCTGGGTTCTAATCCACCTACTAGAAAAATGTATAAATTGTCTGTGTGATCTAGCATGTTAGTGGGTGTGAGTTAATTCTCATTTAGGGTGTAGGTCCCTTGGGAGAGTACCCTGAGGACTGACTGAATTGAATGCTATTTATTTGGTGAACATTCTGAGCCTGGGACCTGCTGTTTAAGTCTTAGTCATTCACCACTGAGAGACAAAGGCAGGACCAGGCTTTAGACATTTTGTGTACCTCACAGGTGTTTATGAAAAGACATAAATCTGACAGACATGGCAGGTCTTTTCAAAGTGCTTCAATGTAAACCCTGGGTATACTTTTCACCTCTGAACCTCCTGGAATATATACTTTTCAATAACAGCTGTTTCTTTTTTGTGAGCTTTCTTTCCAGTTCTCCTCTGTCAGATTTTAATTGACCAAGGACAAGAACTCTGAGTTTAGGGAAGATTAGTGGCCAGTTATTCATGAGGACAGACAGTGTCTCATTGGTTGAGTTGATGTACAGGCCCAGCACAAAGCTCTTGTTGCTTGATTAATCCTTGCTTTCCTGTTGATTTCTAGCTCCACCTACGGTCACCAGTGTTCCAACATCACATCAGGTCTCTACCTCTGTTCCTGCAATGCCAGCATCCACACGAAACCTCAAGACAGGTAAAGTGATGTTTTGCTGAGATCAGAGGCCTTCTAATGATAGAATATAACATAGGACATTGTGTTAAGGCAGAAGTACAATCTAGGGTAAGTGTTCTTAAGTAGCTTCCAAATTAGGGCTTCACAGGGTCTGTGAACTCCCGTCCCATATTCAGGCACCTTTTCTACCTTTAAGTATTTTCAGAGTGAGGAAACCCATTGGTTTTTCCAGTCAGATTCTCAAAGGGATTCATTATTAGCCCAAACACCCCAGACCACTGTCTTGGCCATCTAATAAGAATGGTATGGATTTGGTTTAGTTGAGCACAGGCTTATGAGGAAAATATAGTTAATGCCAGAGAATAAGGGTTAGAGATTCTGTCCTCACAAAGAGCTCGGAAGAGAGATCCCTTAACCCTCTCTGAAGTTGGACCCACCACTCGAGAATAAGATTGTAGTGTAGTTAATATTTACTGTGTCTCCTATGTCAGGATCTGTGCTAAGCACTTTACCAGTAATATATCACTGAACCCTTATGAAAACCCTATGCATTATAGGTATGATTCAATACTATTTTATAATTCTGGGTACTGACAAGGAGATACATCACCAGCTTTGACAATTATCAACTAAATCATGTTGCATATGCATCCTGTAAGGCTATATTGTCCCACCCCTAACCTCTGAGCTACCTTGGAATTTTTGAAGCATATCTCACATCACATCAAAACATTGCTTATTCAAACACTAAAATGAACTCATTGCATACAAACATTTGCATCCCAGTAAACCTTTACCAGTTGTTTTTAGAAATTTCATGAAACACAAAATTCTGGTAAGTTTGCATTTCTTTCTTCGGGATGTTAAAGTCCTAATAGCCTTATCATTGGCTGAACAAAGTAGGCTCTTGGGAATTTCCTGGTTTCTGGTGCTCCGTCTTTATGAATCTCCTTCCCAAAGGTCTTATTTTGACAATAGAATCCAAAACCTGTGGCCTTAAAAACCTATGTTTGTATTTTTTTTTAATAGGAGAAATTTCATTGTGCAATTTCCCAACTTTTGGACTTGGTTTGTTTCCCGTATGAAAGCAAGTAAGACAAGGTTGATTCAGATGGAGAAAATGCTGCCTCTGGGGAAATAGATCTGAGAGTCAATTTGGGGAAGCCCAAAAAAGCTGGTGAGGTTGTACACAATAGACAGGTGTGAGAAGGTAGCCTGTGGAGAAGAAATGATTACAACCATTATGGTATTGTAAAATTATTTTGATCTGGCTGCATTTTTAAAAATAGCATGGAAAAAAATCAGTAGGAGACTTTTATAGTGCCAAGCAATTCTTTAATAGGCAGTTTTTTACAAGGCCACTCACTGCTCTGTCCAATGGGACGTGGGTCCATATATGAGGCAAAGAGACTCTCAGACTCCAGTTACTACCAGTTCTTTGCTTAAGTTTTCCTGCATTTTTCACACGCTGAGTGCTCTGCAACCTTCTGTTTGGGCTTTTACTCACCTGCATCTACCCTTATATCTTCCTAGTTTTGTCCTGGGGAAGATATTTTACACTGAAGAAGACAAGTTCATTAGACAATCTTATAAGGCTTCCTCCTCTTTACTGTTCCTTATGCTCCTTTGATCAGATTTTTTGCATGCTTGCTTTTTCCTCTGTATTAGATTTAGAACTGGAAGAAGAGGCTTAAAAGCCTCTGCCTTCACCTTAGGTCAGGGCCAGCAGAGTCTAGCCCCATGACCAGATCAGATGAAAAATAGGCCCACCACCTGTGTTAGAAATAAAGCTTTATTGGAACAGTCATAACCATTCATTATACTCTCTTGTTTATGGCTGCTTTCACACTGACAGATCTAAGCTACTGCCACAGAGACTATAGGCCCCCAAAGTCTCACACATTTATTATTTGACTCTTTACAGGAAGTTTGCTGACTTCTACTTTAGGTTAATTCTTTGCTTGTAATAAATACTCACAAATATTTTTTGAAAAAAGTTTTATCCTCTTCAAGGCAAAAATTGGCTCAATTCCAAATTAAACTGGATGTCTCAAAAAAGAGCTTTTATCTCAATGGTTTGTTATACAAGGGTTGTCTTTTATAAAGTGTAGACTGATGAAAGCATCTTGTTAAAAAAAAAAGTGTCTGGTGAACAAAAAGTACTCATTCTTGAACCAGGCCTTCATAGATCTGCTTTAATGCCAAACAAGGTGTTTGGGCTTAATTCTAGTTTCCACTCACTCTCTGGACAGCTCTGAAACTTCCTTAAGTTATTTATAATCCTATATCTCCTCTAACTCCAGAATGAGTCAAAGCTACTACCTGTGGCCAGGTCCACCTTCTCTCCAAATGTATGTTGTATAAATCGCCCATGTGATCCAGCATATGCTGGTGGGCGTGAGTTCATCCTCATTTAGGGTGCAGGTCCCTTGGGAGGGTACCCTAAGGACTGCCTGGACTTAATGCTGTTTATTTGGTAAAGATTTTGGGTCTGCAAGTTACTGTTTAAGTTTAGTCATTTGCTACTGAGACGACTAAGATAGGTCCGGGTTCCAGACATTTTCTGTACCTCACAGGTATTTAGGAAGACGCACAAATCTGATATGCACGACTTTCTTTTCAAAGTATTTCAGCGTTAATCCCCGGTAAGCTTTTGCACCTCTGAACCTCCCAGGATATATACCTTCCCTTGTAGATTTTCCTTTTTCCCAAACTGTTTTCAGCCTCCCCTATCAGGTTTTAGTTGACCAATGACCAGAACTCTGTGTTCAGGGGTGATTCGTGCCCTGTTCTGCCTGGGGTGCATCTCTCATTGGTTGAGCTGATGTACAGGCTCAGCACAAAGCTCTTGTTTCCAGCTGCTTGATTAATCCTTGCTTTCCTGTTGTTTTCTAGCTCCACCTAGGGTCACCAGTGTTCCAACATCAGCTAGGGTCTCTACCTCTGCTCCTACAATGCCAGCATCCACACAGAACCTCAAGACAGGTAAAGTGATGTGTTTCTGAGGCCAGAGACCTTCTAATAAGAGGAGGTAGACCACCAGGGCATTGTGTTAAGGCAGAGGTACAATCTAAGGTAAGGGTCTTTCCCTGGGTTCTAAACATGGGCTTCACAGGGCCTGGGAACCTCCATCCCATATTATATGCACCTTTTGTACCTGTCTGTATTTTCAGAGTGAGGGGACCCATTTTTTTTTTAATCAGGTTCTCAAAGGAATTCATTATTAGACAAAAAACTCCAGAACACTGATCTTGGACATCTAACGAGGGTGATGTGGATTTGGCCCAGATCAGCCCAGGTTTGTGAGGAAAATATAGGGAATGCCAATGAAGAAGGGTCAGGTTCATGAGATCCTGTCCTCAGGAGGCATTCTAAATGGAGACCCATTAGTCCTGTCTGAAGTCGGACCATCCACTCAAGCATAAGATTTCAGTAAAGGTAACATTTACTCAAGTCCTCTATGTGCTAGGAACCATTCTAAGTCCTTTACAAGTATTATACGAATTATTTCTTGTGATAACTGTATGCACTGTAGATTTGATTCAATCCTATTTTATAGTTGTGAGTACTGACAAGTAGATACATCACCAGCTTTAACAATTATCAACTAAATCATGTTGCATATGCACTGTGTAAACATATGTAGTTCCACCCCTAGCCTCTGACCTACCTTGGATTATTTTGAAGTAGATCTCAAATCATATGACCACATTGCTTGTTTAAATGTTAAAATGACTATATTGCAATATAAAAACATATGCATCCCAATAACATTCACCAGTTGCATTTAAGCATTTCAGGAAGTCCAAATCTGGGAGGTTTACATTTGTTCCATCTTGATGTGGACATCCTAGTAGCCTTATAATTGGATGAAAAAAAGAGACTTGAGTAATTCATTGTTTTGGTGCTCCTTCTTAATGAATCTCCTTCTATTAAGGTCTTATTTTCACAGCAGAACCCAATACCTGTGGCTTTAATAACCTATATATTTTTTTAATTAACCAAGAGAAACTTTACTTTTGCGGTCTCCCAAGTTTTGGATTTAGCTTGTCCCATATGAAGGCAATAAGGTCAATTCAGATGGAGAAAACAGCTGACTCTGGGGGAAATTTGTCTGCCAGGCAATTCAGGGAAGCCCGAAGAAGCTGGCAATATAAGTTATAGACAGATGTGAGGAGGCATCATGTGGAGAAGAAATTATGATCATAACTTTTTGGAGTTGTGGAATTGTTTTGATCTGGCTGAATTAAAAAATATAGCGTGAAAAAGAATCAGTAGGAGACTTTTATAGTGCCTAGCAATTCTTTAATAGGTGGTTATTTGCAAGGCCACTGCTCTGTCTGGTGGGACGTGGGTCCATATCTGAGGCAAAGAGACCCTCAGACTTCAATTACTACCAGGTCTTTGCTTAAGTTTTCCTGCATTTTTCACACGCTGAGTGCTCTGCAACCTTCTTTTTGGGCCTTTACTCACCTGCATCTACCTTTATATCTTCCTAGTTTTGTCCTGGGGAAGATATTTTACACTGAAGAAGACAAGTTCATTAGACAATCTTATAAGGCTTCCTCCTCTTTACTGTTCCTTATGCTCCTTTGATCAGATTTTTTGCATGCTTGTTTTTTCCTCTGTATTAGATTTAGAACTGGAAGAAGAGGCTTAAAAGCCTCTGCCTTCAGCTTAGGTCAGGGCCAGCAGAGTCTAGCCCCATGACCAGATCAGATGAAAAATAGGCCCACCACCTGTGTTAGAAATAAAGCTTTATTGGAACAGTCATACCCATTCATTATACCCTCTTGTCTATGGCTGCTTTCACACTGACAGATCTAAGCTACTGCCACAGAGACTATAGGCCCCCAAAGCCTAACACACTTACTGTCTGGATCTTTACAGAAAGTTTGCTGACTTCTACTTTAGCTAATGTCCTACATCTAATAAAGACTCACAAATAGTGAAAACAGTTTTTTTCTTCTTTAAGGCATTACTGGCTCAATTCCAAATTAAACTGGCACTCTCAAAAGAAGAGCTTTCGTCTCAATGTTCTCCTATATAAGGGTTGTCTTTCATACTTAGTAGAGTTTAGGTGTTTTTTTTTCTTTTAAGATTTTTTATTGGGGAATTGGGGAAGGGGAACAATGTTGGGGATTGGGGAAGGGGAACAGCCAAGTTGTCCTTCAATCTTAGTTGTGGAGGGCGCGGCTAGCTCAGCTCCAAGTCCAATCGCCATCTGGCTGCCCATCAGCAGCTTGCGGCTGGCCGCTCAGCTCAAGGTGCCATGCTCAATCTTAGTTGCAAGGAGGGGGCTGCAGCCCACCATCCCACACGCGAGTCAAATAGGCAACCTTATTGTTAAGGAGCACGTGCTCCCACCAGCTGAGCCATCCTGCCACCTGTTGGCAGCTCAGCTCAGGCGCAGCTCACTGGCCCATGTGGGAATCTGAGCCTGTTGCTCAGAGCTTGCAGTGTTAACCAACTGAGCCACTTGGCCGGCCCAGTAGAGTTTAGAGTTGAGAAAGCTGCTTATAAAAGAAAAAAAAATAGGTGCCTGTTAAAAAATAAGCACACATTCTTTAATCAGGCCTTCATTGTTGTGCTTTTGTGCCAGGCACTGCGTTTGGGCTTACTTCTGTTTTCTTGCTTCCTTTCTGGATTGCTTGAGACCTTTTGTAGTTGGTTTGAAATCCTACAATGCTTCTGACTCTGGAAAGAGACAAAGTTATGACCTGAGGTCTATTCCTCCTTCAAGCCAAATATGTAAATCTTCTGTGTAACCTAACTTATACTAGTGGGTGTGAGTTCATCCTCATTTAGGGTGTAGGTCTCTAGGAAGGGTACCCTCTGGACTGCCTGAACTTAATGCTATTTATTTGGCAAACATTCTGAGTAGGACCTATTTTATGTATTAGTCATTCGCCACTGGGAGGATAAGTCAGGTCCAGGTTCTAGACATTTTGTGTAGCTCATGGATTTTATGAAGATACGTTAATCTGACAGTCATGGCTGGTCTTTTAGTGCTTCAGTGCTAAACCTGGGTAACCTATTTTACCAGTGAACCTCCCAGAATGTATAGTTTTCAGTGCAGCTGCTTCTTTTTTGTGAGCTTGTCCTCAAGCCCACCCCTGTCATACTGTATTTGACAAAGGACAAGAATGGTGGAGCTTAGTGCCCAGTTCTGCCTGGGGTGGGTCTCTCATTGATTGAGTTGATGTACAGGCCCAGCACAAAGCTCCTGCTGCTTGATTAATCCTTGCTTTCCTGTTGATTTCTAGCTCCACCTAAGGTCACCAGTGTTCCAACATCAGCTAGGGTCTCCACCTCTGCTCCTGCAACGCCAGCATCTACACCAAAACTCAAGAGAGGTCAAGTATATTTTTCTAAGACCAGAGACCTTCTAATGAGAGGACGTAGACCCCCAAGGGCATATGTTATGGCAGAAGTACAATGTAGGGTAAGAATTATTCCCCGAGTTCTAAACATGGGCTTCATGGGGTCTGTGAACCTCCATCCCATATTATATGCACCTTTTGTACCTGTCTGTATTTTCAGAGGGGATCCTTTTTTTTTTAAATAAATGAGATTCTCAAATGGGTTCTTTATTAACCAAAAAAACCTGTCCACTGATCTAGGACGGTCTAATGAGCATGATGCGGATTTGTCCCAGTTGAGCACAGGATTGTATGGAGAATACGGGGAATGCCAGAGCACACATGTCAGGTTAATGAGATTCTGTCCTCACTAGGAGCTCTGAAGAGAGAGCCTTTCGTGCACTCTGAAATTGAACCCTCCACTTGAGGACAGGATTTCAGTGAAGTTAATATTTGCTTAGTCATATGTGTGTCAGGATCCATGTTAAACCCTTTACAAGTATTATATCACTTAATTGTTATGATAACGCAATTCACTGAAGCTGTGAGTCAACCCTATTTCATAGCTGAGGGTACTGTTAAGTAGATACCTCACCAGCTGTAACAATTGTCAGGTCAATTTGGTTGCATATATAGAGTATAAGCACATATACTTCTACCCTGAATGTCTGCCCTACTTTGGATGTTTTGAGCATATCTCACATCATATCACAACACTTGCTTGTTTAAACATTAAAATGTCCTCATTGCAATATGAAAACATTTGCATCCCAAGAACGCTTCACCAGTTCTGTATAAAAATTTCATCAAGTCCAAAATTATAAGAAGGTTACATTTCTTTTGTCTTGATGTGGACATCCTAATAACCTTATCATTCTATGAAAAAGCAGGTTCGTGAGAATTTCCTGGTGTTCGGTGCTCTTACTCAGTGAATCTCCTTTTACAATCTTAGGTTGACAAGAGACCCAATACCTGTGGCCTTAATAGGCTATGTCTGTATTTCTTTTAATTAGGAGAAATTGTATTTTGCAATCTTTCAAGTTTTGGATTTGGCCTGTTTCCCATATGAAGGCGAGTAAGATAAGGTCAATCAGATGGAGAAAATGCTGACTCCAGGGAACTGTATCTGGGAGGCAATTTAGGGAAGCCCAAAGATGCTGATGAGTTGTACACTACAGACAGATGTGAGGGGGCAACATGTGGAGAAGAAATTATGATTATAACTTAGGAGTTGTGAAGTTATTTTGATCTGGCTGAATTTTTAAGAATAGCATGGAAAAGAATCAGTAGAATTTTATAGTGCCTAGCAACTCTTTAACAGGTGGTTATTTCCAAGGCTACTGCTCTATCCTGTGGGAAGTGGGCCCATATCTGAGGCAAAGTTACTCTCAGCCTCTAATTATCAATCCTTTGCTTAAGTTTTCTTGCATTTTTCACAGGCTGAGTTCATTCCTCAACCTTCTGTTAGGGCTTTTCCTCACCAGCACTTACCCTTATGTCTTCCTGGGGAAAATATTGCCACTAAAGAAGACAAGTTCCTTTGACAATCTGATTAGGTATCATTTTCTTTATTGTTCCTTATGCTTCTTTGATCACTTTTTGCATGCTTGCTTATTTTTGCTAGATTAGATTTTAAACTGGAACAAGGGAATTGGATTGTACTCTTTTTTGAAGATCTTATTGGTTTTGTTAAGCGATTCATGAATCTCCAGCATCCCTTCTAGCAACAAGGATGACACTCTTGGATTGTACTGTTTTTAAAAGCCTCTGATTACAGCTTCATTCAGGGTCAGCAAATTCTAGCCCATTTCCATATCAGATTCAAAACAGACGCATCACCTGTTTTATATATATATATATATATATATATATATATATATATATATATATATATATATTTATTGGAACAGCCAAACCCATTCATTACACTCTCCTGTCTCTGGCTGTTTTCACTCTGATAGAGCTGAACAACTGCTACAGAGACTATAAGGCCCCCAAACCTAACACATTTACTGCCTGGCTGTTTCCAGAAAGCTTGCTGACCTCTGCTTTAGATTAATGCCTTGCATGTAATAGACAGTCACAAATATTTGTTGAAAAATGTTGGTTCCTCTTCAAGGTAAAAATTGGCTCACTTCCGAATTAGATTGGATCTCACAAAGGAGAGCTGTCAAGCCAATGGTCTCCTATAGAAAGGTTTTCTGTTATAATGGGTAGAGTTGAGGTCCAAGAAAGCTGCTTGCAGGATGAAAAGGTGTCTGGTAAGAAAAAAGTACACATTCATGAGTCATGCCTTCATTGATCTGCTTTAGTGTCCGGCACCATGTATAGGCTTAATTCTAGTTTGAGCTCTCTCTCTCAGTAGTTCTGAGACCTTCCATAAGTCCTTTGAAATTCTATACCCCCTCTGACTCTGGAAAGAGCCAAAGTTTTTACCTATTGACACTTCTGATGTGGAAAGGAACTTTAAATGGTCTATCTACCTTCTAGTCAAATGTAATATGTATAAATTGTCCCAGCGATCCAGCATATGCTAGTGGGTATGAGTTCATCCTCATTTAGGGTGCAGGTACCTTTGGAGGGTACCCTCAGGACTAACTGAACTGAATGCTATTTATTTGGTGAACATTTTGGGCCTGGAAACTGCTGTTTAAGTCTTAGTCATTCACTACTAAGAGGACAAAGGCAGGGCCAGGCTCTAGGCCTTTTCCCCACATCACAGATATTTATGAAGATGCATGAATCTCATAGGCATGGCTGGTCTTTTTAAAATGCTTCAGTGCTAAACCTGGGTAACCTTTTTACCGCTGAACCTACTGGATTATATGCTTTTCAATGCAGCTGTTTCCTTTTTGCAAGCTTGTCCTCAAAACCACCCCCATCAGATTCTAGTAGACAAAAGACAAGACTCTGAGTTCAGGGGAGATTAGTACCCAGTTCTGCCTGGGGTGGGTCTCTCATTGGTTGAGGTGATGTGCAAGGACCAGCACAAAGCTCTTGTTTCCAGCTGCTTGATTAATCCTTGCTTTCCTGTTGATTTCTAGCTCCACCTAAGGTCACCAGTGTTCCAACATCAGCTGGGTTCTCTACCTCTGCTCCTACAATGCCAGCATCCACACAGAACCTCAAGACAGGTAAAGTGATGTGTTTCTGAAGCCAGAGGCCTTTTAATGAGAGGATGTGCCCCCCAGGGCATTGTGTTAAGGGAGAAGTACAATCTAGGCTAAAAGTTCTTCCCTTGGTTCCAATGTGGCCTCACATGATCTGAGAAACCCTGTCCCATATTACATGCATCTAATGTATTTAAATGTATTTTCAGAGTGGGGGGACACATTGCTTTTTAAATCAGGCTCTCAAAAGATTTATTATTAGACAAAAAACTCCAGAACACTGATCTTGGACATCTAATGGGGGTAATGTGGATTTGGCCCAGATCATCCCAGGTTTATGAGGAAAATATAGGGAATGCCAATGAAGAAGGGTCAGGTTCATGAGATCCTGTCCTCAGGAGGCGTTCCAAATGGAGACCTTTTAGTCCTGTCTGAAGTCGGACCCTCCACTCAAACATAAGATTTCAGTGAAGGTAACATTTACTCAGTCCTCTATGTGCCAGGAACCATTCTAAGTCCTTCACAAGTATTATAAGAATTATTTCTATGATAATTGTATGCACTGTAGATTTGATTCAATCCTATTTTATAGTTGTGGGTACTGACAAGTAGATACATCACCAGCTTTAACAATTACCAGCTAAATCTTGTTGCATATACACTGTGTAAACATATGTAGTTCCACCCCTAGTCTCTGACCTACCTTGGATTTTTTAAAGTATATCTCACATCATATCACCACATTGCTTGTTTAAACTATATTAAATGTTAAAATGACTATATTTCAATATAAAAACATATGCATCCCAATAGAATTCACCAGTTGCTTTTAAGAATTTCATGAAATCCAAAAATCTGGGAGGTTTACATTTGTTCCATCTTGATGTGGACATCCTAATTGTCTTATCACTGGAAGAAAAAAAGAGGTTCCTCAGTAATTCATTGTTTTTGGTATTGTTTCTTAATGAATCTCCTTCTATTAAAGTCTTATTTTCACAGTAGGACCCAATACCTGTGGCTTTAATAACCTACATCTCTTTTTTAATTAACCAAGAGAAACTTTATTTTTGTAATCTCTCAAGTTTTAGACTTGGCTTGTCCCGTATAAAGGCAAGAAGGTCAATTCTGATGGAGGAAACAGCTGATTCTGGGGAAACTACATCAGGAAAGCAATTCAAGGAAGCCCAAAGAAGCTGGGGAGATAGTATGTTATAGACACATGTAGGAGGCATCATGCAGGAGAAATTGACTATAACTTTGTTGGAGTTGTGAAATTATTTTGATCTGGCTGAATTTAAAATAATAGCATGGAAAAGAATCAATAGGAGAATTTTATAGTGCCTAGCAGTTTTTTAAAAGGCAGTTATTTACAAGGCCACTGCTCTGTCCAGTGGGAAGTGGGTCCATGTCTGAGGCAAAGTGACTCTCAGCCTCCAATTATGAAGTCTTTGCTTAAGTTTTCTTGCATTTTTCACAGGCTGAGTCCCCTGCTACCTTTTGGGGGGTGGGGGGGTCTTTTACTCACCTGCATCTACCTTTATATTTTCCTAGCTTCGTCCTGAATTCATCCTCATTTAAGGTGCGGGGCCATTGGAAGGGAACCCTCTAGACAGACTGAACTCAGTGCTATATATTTGGTCAACATTCTGGGCCTGGAAACTTCTGTTTATGTCTCAGTAATTCACCCCTGAGAAGACAGAGACAGGTTCAGGCTTTAGATGTTTTCCATACCTCGCAGATGTTTATGAAGACACATAAGTCTGATATGCATGGCTGGTCTTTTCAAAATGTTTCAGTGTTAATCCGGGGTATCCTTTTACACCTCTGAATCTTCCAGAATATATACCTTTTAGTACAGCTTTTCCTTTTTGCCAGTGTGTCTTCAACTTCTCTCCTGTCAGAATCCAGTTTTTCAAGGACAAATACTCTAGTTTCCGGGGTGATTAGTGCCCAGTTCTGCCTCCGGTGGGTCTCTCATTGGTTGAATTGATGTACAAGGCCCAGCACAAAGCTCTCGTTTCCAGCTGCTTAATTAATCCTTGCTTCCCTGTTGTTTTCTAGCTCTGCCTAAGGTCACCAGTGTTCCAACATCACATCAGGTCTCTACCTCTGCTCCTACAATGCCAGCATCCACACCAAAACTCAAGACAGGTAAAGTGATGCATTTCTGAGGCCAGAGGCCTTCTAAGGAGAGGTAGTAGGCCATCAGGGCATTGTGTTAGGGTAGTGGTACAATTTGAGGTAAGGGTTCTTCCCTGGGTTCCAAACTTGGTCTCCACAGGACCTGACAACCCCATTCCATGGCACATATAACTTTTGTACCTATTGGTATTTTCAGAGTGAGGGGAGCCATAATTTTAAAAAATCAGATCCTCAAGGGGATACATTATTATCACTCCCCTCCCCCAAAAAATAATCTTCAGACCAGTGATCTTGGACAGGTAATGAAGATGATGTGAATTTGTATCAGTTGAGCACAAGATGATGAGGAAATTAATGGGGAATGTCAGAGAATCAGGGTCAGGTTCATGAGATTCTGTCCTTAAATGGAACTCTAAGTTGAGAGCCTTCAGTACCCTATGAAGTCAGAGCCTCTACTCAAAGATAGTATTTCATTGAAGTTATCATATACTCGGTCTCCTGTATGACAAGGATCATGCTGAATGGTTTATAAATATTATATCACTTAATTTTGATGACAACCCTATACATTGGAGGTGCAATTCAATTGTATTACATGGTTGAGGGGACCAAGGCATAGAGTCTGAGTTCATTGTTGAAAGGCATATGGATAGAAGGTGGTTGAGTCATGATTCAGTTTCCATTAACTTGACTTTGGGGCTGTGGTGATAACGACTGGATTGTGCCTTCTGTCAGGAGCACTGAGGTTATGTTTGGGTGAATTTGTCCTGATCTGACATCCTCTCTGAAAAAACCTAATGTAATTACCCTGTCTTCCCCTGGCAGTCAGTGACTGACACAGTTTTGCTACAAGCATCATTTACTTTATTATATAGCAAAGGGATTAAAAATTTTTTTATTTATATTGATGGCAAATTAAAGATTAGATTTAAGAATTTCAGGGATTTAGAATGTACAGGCTCCGTTGTTCAATTCAAGGTACATGGTTCACACTTCAAATTTCTGATATTTAAGAGTTTAGGTTTAATACAAATGCAGAAATATTTGATGCATAGGTAGAGAAATAGTTTACCATTCTGAGAACCAGTTTAGGTTTAAAACTTCTATTTCTAGGATTGCAAAGATAGCTCTTAGTGGAGATCCTACAAGACTCCAATACTCATTGACTCCTTGCGGTGGCTCTGAATTCTGAGGAACAGCAGAGATGTCACAACTTCTTAGTCAGAAAAATCTGACAGAACATACTGAATTTCCTTGACTTCCATTGGACCCAGTGGATATTCAGCCAGGAGGGATTTGCCACATTTGAGCTCTGAGCTAAGTTTGAAGAGAGGGCTTTAGGTGAAAACTGGGATTTTAGAGCCATAAAAGTTTGTTAAAAAAAACAAAAAACAGCTTTGTCTGGGAAGCTGGACATACTAGGGAATCTGTTAACTTTCTCAATATTGATTTAGCTTCTCTACACTTAGACTGACTTTGTGCCTACCAGGGTATATGGATTATTGGACTTGGTTTGGTGAACATACATAAGTTTTTGACTTTTAAAGGAGAGATTCAGAAGAAAACTGTTGGTTTACACACCAGTGTGATCTCCTGGGAATATTAATTGTATTATTAATTGAGTTGAGTCTTATCCTTATCCCGATAGTTCTCTAAGGAGTTTGAGGTTAGAGTTGAACTTGATATTACAAGAAAGAGGTAAACACTGGAGCCAATTCAATGCAGAAACATTTATCTTTACATCTCCTCCCTCCCTGAGTTCAGCCTCATTTTAGGCAACATGGTAGTTTCCTAAAATATCATGGGATGGTGGAATATAAGGTTGTAGGAGCAGGGGACAAAAATCTCATGTTTGAGAAAGATGTTAAACTCAAGAGGTCTTTCACACAAACCTAAGTTAAATAGACTCTGATCATTTGACTTTCTTGTATTGTCATCGTCTTAGTTACTAAAGAAAGCCACGTCGTGTTATAGGTTAGACTATAAGAGGAAAACTAGGAGATAATTCAGAACATGAGAAAGGATGATGTTGAAATGTGAAGACTATGGTGGGAAAGAGGAAACAAAGACCAATGAGAGGCAATAAAGAAAGCCCAGGTTAGAGAGTTCTTGTCCAGTCAGCACCACTAATGTGCTTTAAAATTCTGTGATGCTCGAAGGGGGAGGATTATGAAGATCTTATAAAGAGGCAAGTGATGTACTCTGCAGGGAAGGTGAGATATCTGATGGAAAATAAAGGACTACTTGCAAGAAATCAAAGGGGAATGTAGCCCTGTGTTGGAGAATTTGTAGTGAAACTTTGGGTGAGTAATGGAAGATGAGTCAGATAACACAGGAAAGTAGTCTTACTAAACAGTGACCTGAGTGCAACCGCAGATGGAGCTGGGGTTAAGGTCAACCGGGAACCTTAATTCGAGGGTTGTGAATCATTACCAAGGCTGAGATTGGGCAATATAGTCACCTTGAAGAGACCTCAAGGAATTAAGTATTGTGAGTATGTATCCTGCACTGGTCCGTATGTACATCTCTCTGGAAAGAGGTGTGGATGGATAATTGGCAACATGAATAAAGGCAGAAAATCCAGATTGGGGTTGATGTGAAGAGGGGAGGGCAGATTAGTGCAAACTCCCAGGGCCTGTCCCATGAAAGTGAAAATGTAACTTGTATGGATAAAGCTTAATTGGGTGTCCCACATAAGATGCCCTGTTGTGGGCTTTATACATTCAGGGGAATTCTAGGAGTATAAAAAGTGTGAAATAATCTGTCTATAGATAACTATCCAGATCATTATCTAGATCAGATTTGCTCCTGATAATGAAATACCTAGATAGTAGTGCAATGCCTCAAGGTCACCCTTGAACAAATTTCTAATACAGAGTTGAAGATAATTCCTGATGCTAGTTTTGTTGTCTGCTTTTTTGGATGGATGAACATTTTTCTGCAGAAATAGGACACAGCTCTTTCATTCTTTTCATTCCAGATACTACTTCATCTTCTCCAATGCAGACAGCAGAAACTAAGACTGTCACACCACAAGAAACAATTACAACCAGCTTACCACTGAACCCTTGCCTAGCAGGTAACTTCATTTTCTTTGCTGAACACCTAGGGCATCCATATTTTGATAATCATTGACATATTGTAAAGAGCACATCTTCTGGTATAAGACAGACCTGACATGACATAAGTGCCAACACTGGTCTCTCCAATCAGCTACGTGACTTGAACAAAAGTTTTACCCTGTCTGAATCTGTTTTCATCATTTGCAAAATGGATGGAAGATCATTGATAATGTAGAGTCCTTGTGAGGATTAAATGAGATAAAGAGTTTGGGACACAGTTATAAGGTGTAAGTGATAGATATGATAATATCTATGAGTGTTACTTGGATGTGTGGAGTACATATA